GGTAAAGATCTGGATCACCTCAGATCTCCAACATTTACATTTTTACCGTGCAAAGAAAAACACACGACATGTTCTTTTTGGCTTTGTTTTAGTCCATTATTCAGAAAACTCATTCAGTTTTTAAATGGTGCAGCTTTAGAAGCTAAACCCATAAATCAACACTTGATCCTCAGGTTTATCTGAAAAAATCAATTGTTCACGATAGAGAGCAGTGACATCATACAGCATCATGTGTGTCGTCTCTGGTGACTCACATTCAATATGTGAAGAACATCTGGAACGTTAAACCAGACTCAACAACCAAATGTACAAGAAAATAATCTGAATGACTTAAACTCAGTTGTTGCTTCATGAGGGTCCAGTTTATCTGTGCGGCTCCTGAGCGGCTCTGCAGCACCAACATCCCGTCACCTTCACACTAAAACAAAGAGCACAGGCTGGATGCGTTCCGTTTTCTGCTGGTCTTTGTTGTGGTCATTTCTAAGCAGGGAACGGCTCGGAGCGAAGGATGAAAGGCAGCTATTGAAGGCTGTTTAAGCTCTCAGAGCTCGTGGAATTCCCAAAGAATGTTGTCCAAACTCCAAACCCTCTTAAGCAACCTGAGTTGCTCTCACTAGCCCTCTATTCATGCTCAGTTGCAAACAGTGTGTGTGCGCGCAGGCTTGTGTGTGTGTGTGTGTGCGCATGAGTTTGCATATGGTGTGTACTCCTAATTGAAAATGTGATCACCAAAGCGGCACTGAATCGCTGCCTATCACGGTGTAACCCTCTTACTTCCCTGTTGTTTAAGGTAGCAGCCGCGGAACAAAAGGCCTTGTTTATTCCCCATCCATCCCTTAATACAGTGTTTACAGTCACGAGGTGGCCCCGGGAATCAGCTGCTCGTTACGTAACCCGCGCTTCTGTGGCCGGAGTGACGAATGACAGCGCTCCAGTGCCGTGTGTGGCCTGATGGTTATTAATGAGGCTTGAGGAGAGGAGTTGATGGTGTTGTAAATGTAGGAAAAGTGGTGTTTCTACTGCCCTCCGGTGGTGAGTCTCATAACAACCTGAACATGGGATTCATGCGTCCGTCGGTGTTTTTGCTCTGATTTGCGTTTTCCTTGGATGTGTTTGTCGGGAAGCACTTTGTTTGCTCCTGATTGCCGTCGCTGTAATCTCTGCTAATTGATTCTTTGTGTGTTTTCCCAGGTCATGATCAGAGGGGAGGAGTGGCACTACATCGCCACCCAGGGTCCGCTCGCCAACACCTGCGCCGACTTCTGGCAGATGGTCTGGGAGCAGGGGGTCAACGTCATCGCCATGGTTACTGCCGAGGAGGTACGCACACACACACACACACCAACACAGCAGATGTGGTTATTTTTCAGCTGCACAGTGAAAACGTGTGTGTGTCGCATCAGAGCTCGTCATTTACATCCACTCTTCTCTCCTTTCCCCTCCTCCACCCATTGATCTCCTCCCGCCCTGCGCTCGTCACCCGTCCGTCCCAGGAGGGCGGCAGGTCCAAGAGTCACCGCTACTGGCCCAAACTGGGCTCCAAGCACAACTCGGCCACTCACGGCAAGTTCAAGGTGACCACCAAGTTCCGCACCGACTCCGGCTGCTACGCCACCACGGGATTAAAAGTCAAACACCTGCTGTCTGGCCAGGAGAGGACGGTCTGGCACCTGCAGTACACCGACTGGCCTGAGCAGGGCTGTCCTGAATATGTCCTAGGATTTCTCTGTAAGTGGGATTGTTTCATCGGAGAGAGAAACAGTCGCTGTACTTTCACTTTTTCACTTAAAGGAGTAGAGGACATCAAGTGTCTTGTAGAAGGTTAGAAAAGAAGGATTAAATGGTAAATGTGATGCTAGATTGCGAGCCAGCAAGCAGTCAGATGAGTATAAAGACGTTTCTTTGACCCTCTGAACCCAAAAACTGCCCAGCAAGGTTGAAAGACGTGATGTCTTTTAAAAGAAATGCCCTGATTCCTCCATTAGTTACAGTCAGAAACCAGAAAACCAGAAAGAATTGTCAGATTTCTACATTTGACACGGTCCACGAGCTGCTTACTAATAATCATGTAGTTCAGTCGGGGACACAATCTTTTTTTTCCAGAAAAATTTACCAAAAATAAACTGTTTATACCAACTGGATGCTGTAAAAGTAGTATCGTACTGCAGGCTGTGCACAAAGAGCTGATAAAGTGGAGACTAGTGTTGGTATTTGTGACACCTGTGAGCACCTGCACATGTTTTTTTTTTAATCTTTACAAGGTAAATATAAAAGATAATCTGCTTTAGTTCATTCTTTTTTTATGATGTATGGTTTTATAACTGTGTCATACTAATATGATGGCTGCACTTGTTCCATAAAGATGCAGGACTCATCTATCGTAGTGAAACATAAACCTACAGCCAGGAAAGAGGTGACAGGAGCAACAACAACAACTCTGTGGATTTAGAGGATTAAACTAGTTGTTATTGTCCATCAGCGTGCAACAGAAGAAGCACCTGGAACAGATTCCGTCTTCTCAACACCCTGATATTTTTGTCTCCTGCAGCCTACCTAGAGGAGATCCAGTCCGTGAGGAGACACACTAACTCCATGCTGGACACCTCAAAGAGCCTCAATCCCCCCGTGGTGGTCCACTGCAGCGCCGGCGTGGGTCGCACCGGGGTGGTCATCCTCACCGAGCTCATGATCAGCTGCCTGGAGCACAATGAGGTGAGTGGATCGGGGGGCGTCCGACACTCTGACCTGCGTTTCTGTCCGTTAATCCGACTGCAGTTGAGCGTGCTGGATGTTGGTGGGCGTCTACATGATCCCGTCACTTTCCCTTAAAACTCCTGATGGCAGTTCAACAATACCATTTTCTCTCCAGTCGTCCTCCAATGTTTTCATCCCCTTCCACTAAAGAAAAGACAAAATCCACAACAGTCACTCAAATAACTAGAAACTGGAAAAAGTGATAATAAATAAAAATTTGCTAAATTATAATTTAGAGAAATAAGACGTTGCTTTTGAATTGTGGGCAAAAAGAATAATTTTAAAAAACAAATGAGAGCCCTTTGCTGATGAGCAGCGGGCCAGAATATGGGTCCCATCATGCTTGGTTGCGTGTTTTTGTTTTTTTTTAAATTTCTGTTGAACCACAATTCAAAAGCAACATCATGATGTTCATTACATTTTTATTTATTATTACTTCTGTCCATTTCAGCTTATTCCAGCTGTTTTGTTCCTTCTTTAATGGGAGGGTATGAACACATCTGAGCACGACTGTAGTTGTTTGAATGTTTCAGCACCAACATCTGTCTGAAAACATCACAGGAGAGACGCAGTAATCCCAACACCTCTGTCAGTTTTACATCCATTACAAACTAAAATGTCCATAAAAATAAAACTTTACTGTGACAGAATAGATCATATGAATGAGACACTCCAATAACAAAAAGCTTATCTGAAGTTTTGTTCATAGGAGTCTTTTCTCTGAGTTGATTAAATACCTCAATTCAATATTTCCAAATGTGTGTAAACTGTTTTACAATCCAAGTCTAAAAAGGGCTTTAGGATATTTGGTAAATAAAAATATCTTTTTTTGGAAAGCCAGCCAATAACCACTGCACATCGTTTGTTATTTACAGTTTCGAGATGAATCCAGATGTGGTCTCTCTTTAAAAATCTGAATTCTGTGTAGCATTGAAATACAAACACACGAGGAAGAAGATGCTGCTTGATAACCTGTTAATGGAGCCTGAAATGTTTTTTCCTGGCCGACACACAAAAGATCGTCTCTCACATTTTTGGTTTCTTTTTTATTCATTCCTTTTCTCTGGTTTGTGCCCCTCCAGCCGGTGGAGGTTCCCACCATGTTGTCAGAGCTGAGGCAGCAGAGGATGCTGATGGTTCAGACCATCTCCCAGTACAAGTTTGTCTACCAGGTCCTCATCCAGTTCCTCAAGAACTCTCGCCTCATCTGAGCCCAGAGAGCCTCACCTTGGACCTCGTAGCGGCAGCAGACGACGACGACGGTACTTTAACGCTAGCTGGAGGACGCAGTGGGAGGCCGGAGCAGAGGCTCACGTTTGATGTAAATTCGAGTGGATTTTCCAACAAGCTCACCTCAAGGGAGGAACGGATCCGTGTAGGCCTGTATAGAAATCCACAACCATTTCTCCCCATCAGATTTTGTTCTTGGTGTCCCTTTAATCTCGGCGCTGGCCTTCGATGTCGGTGCATCTTGTCCGTACAGATCAGGTGAGGAAGCAGCTCGTCTTACCTGCAGGTGTGAATGTGTTTCGTTTGTCTGCGTGTTTCCTGAGAAATCAGATCTCAGTTTCAGTTCGGAGAGAGATCGCCTGCCTGCTACATTTCTCATTTTTTATTTAGCCATCATTAGAAATGGCATTATGCTGCGTGAACAGTAGGTGGCAGCAGTATTATTACTATACTCTATACTCTGAAAGAGTTTGCCAAACAAAAGTATTCCTCCAATCACTGTTCTAAAATGTTCCTTTGTTTTTAACAGAATATTGATTAATACAGCGAGTATTTACTTCAGCATTGTAACAAATGTTTTTATTTATTTCTATAAAGACTGTGGTCACCTTTGCCCTCGGCAAGCATATTGATCTTTAGATTTTTTTTTACTCCTGTATGAAAAGCCTTCCTGGATTCTTCTAATTTTCTTTTTTTTGTTAAAGATGCCTAAGCTTAGATATTTCTACTAAGCTCCCTGTTTTTAAACCACACACAAAGTACATTTCAGCGATTTTTCTCCTTGTGATCAGATGTGTGCTGTCACATCTTTTACCCCAAAGCATTTCAAAACTCTACAAGAGTCTGTCCAAATTGGAGATAATTTATAGTTTCACTGTTTATATGTGTAGCCAAAAGGAACCTGTGTCCGTCTACAGTAGATGCTGTACAGAGCTGATCATTGTGCCTTATTGAGAAGAAGCTGCCTGTTGGACTCTTAAATTTGATTATTCTTTTTTTTTTGTACCTCCAAAGATTAAATTCTCAAATCAGTATTTAATAACTTGCTATAAGAACAACTTTAACATTTCAGATATTTACCTGGTTCTCATGTAGGGGGGTTGCCAGTATGAGATGCTGATGTTTTCATTTAGTTTTTAAGTATAAAAGTGGCCCGACAGACTTTACCAAAAATAAAATAAAAAATCAGAATTAATAATCTGTTCCAAACTAAAAAAGAAAACAATAATAATAATCTGTTCCAAACCCGATATTACTGCGCTGCCACATCTGGGAATCCTGTTTATAAAATTAAAACATTCTAAAAGTGTTCTTTTATTGCATGTCGTACTTTTCTGAACCGTGACGCGAAGCCGGCCACGCCCAGCGTAACTCTGTACATACACAACGGGCGTGTGAGAAAAGACTTCCTTGTTTTGTATCGTTTTCTTTTCTTGACTTGGTACCCTTAAAATACCGCGACATAATAAACTATGCATGCATTTTTATATTTCAATGTATATATTCTCAGATAAGTATAAGCTTCGTGCTCTCCTGACATATAAGTGTTTTGTTGCACTTCTGTTCTCTTCGACAGTATTTCTCTCACACGGCATTCCACTGTTTGTTTATATTTAATTTTTTTTCCCCCCTCTTTAACTTTTTTTTTTTTTTTTTTTGGCCAAACTCCCAAATAAAAAAAATATGTGTACATATGTTTTGTATATGCATTTTCAGTACATCAAGTCTAGTCTGTTTCCTTTCCCCAGACATGTATGAAGCTGTTGTACTTGCTTATTATGCAATAAAGCCTTATTTTCTTTACGACTGTGGCCTCATTTGCTGTTTGTTTGTGCTTTTTCCAATCATTTACATGTAGCTGGTCATAGTGTGTCTGGCTTTTTTTTTTTCTTCTTTCTCCTCCACAGTAATTAGTGCAGAGCAGGAACATAAGGTGTGAATGCAAACAGCGCTCTGTGCCTCCATTGTGACGGAGCCACATTCTGGAGCTTCAACAGGCCCCTTGCGGTGAAGCAGCTGTCCTGATTGGCTGACGGGGATTTTTGTTGCATCGACCCCCCGCTGACATTTGCAAACAACTCGACTCTGACGGATTACAGGGTCCAGCTGATGTGTCAATCACAAGCCGGAACAGAAACCTGATTATTCATTTGTAAATAATAATAATAATAAAAATCCCAGAACACCTTATTGTTGCCATAATTTAAAAAAAACATCTTTCACAATGTCCGTTTTTCAAAGTCCAACAATAAATTATTTGCATAAAACAACAACAAAGAAAACACGAATGTTCTCCGTCTTCACTCCAGGACCAAAACTTGATCTTGAAAGTGGCCACAGTTCTGTAAAGCTCCTCATCAAAGGAGCGTATGCAGTCCGTAGGGATTTACTTGTATGTTTTTCTCTCTGTTCTCTTCATTTTTGTGCAATCTCTTTGCGCAGCTCTGCAACGTAGCTGTGATCCTTCCCATGAGCCACCTCCATTACAGCCATCGCCTGCGGACGCACAGACATGAATGATTTTCGCACATTTTACTGCTTTCAAGTGTGTGCAATGTTCTTACATACGGGTACACTGAAAATATGCAGTGTTGAATTTCCATTTTGGCAAATTCAGGCAAAAATCTTGTATTTATATAACGTTTAAAATGTGAGCTGACGGCTCTTTGTTCAAATAAAACATGAAATTTGTTGAAAATCCCTCGACGCGAGGTAATAAAGAATGTTTTGGTGCAGTGCTGAGAGAACGGCAGCACGGTATTCCCAGTTGTTCGCTGGTTTGAGGCACTGTGTAGATGATGTGTTTGAGAGTCTGATATAAAAGCCCAGCAGCTCATGTTACCTTCTTGAGAGCGCTGACGCCGGCTGAGTGCTTCTCCAGCCCCATGTACAGTCGGCCCAACTTCAGGTACATGGAAGACACGTTCAAGGAGTACGGTGGATACAGCCGGCTGCAACGGACAGAGATCCAAATACACTGATGAGCCACCGAGACGTGAAGTGAGTAACACTGATTGACTCTTAACAATGGCACCTGTCATGCAATAGGGGACATTAGGCTGCAAGTGAACAGTCAGTTCCTGAAGCTGAAAAATGGGCAGCGTGAGGATCTGAGCAGGTCTGGGATGGCTCGACGACTGGGTGACAGATCTCTATCTTCCCAGTATGCAGCGGTTAGTATCGACCAAAAGTGGTCCAAACAAGGACAACTAGTGAAGCAGTGACAGACTCGTGTTCACCAGAGACTCACTGATACACGATGAGAGCAAAGGCTGGTCAGCTTGGACCATCACA